CAGAGGCAGCTGGCAGCAGGTGTGCATGTCCGCTTCTCTCCTGTGTTTCGAGTGCTGCTCTCATCCGGTTTTCCTTTTTTTCCATTGTGCCACTTTATTTTCCTTTTTCTCTCACCTTTTCTCTTCATGCAGATAAGTTTCTTTGCTTCACTTCTCCCAAGACCCCTTCCTCAGGCTGGACGCTCCGCCTCTCTGAGCTCTGCAGTTTGTCTCCCCTCCAGCTGACTCTGGTCCTCTCTTAGCGCCCCGCCTTAGGCCGGGCGCACCTGTGCTTCCTGTTTGAGAAGCTCGTGTCAGTGTCAAATAAACACTGTTAAGCTATCTCTGTTCGCTCTTCTTTTTACTTCACATTTTAGTTTCAACATTGAATAAAACTATAAATCTGCTTCACGCATGTGAGGGTTAATTTTTGGCGGCTTTTTTTTTTTGGCATTCTGAACATTATACATTAATATGAAGAGTTTCTGAGGCAGTAGTTCCTTGTGGAACTTTTTAAAAAAAAAATACTCATGCCGAGCCGGAGTGGCTCAGTTGGTTTAGTGTCGTCCTGTGCACCAGAAGGGTTGCCAGATCGATTCCTGGTCAGGGCACAACCCAGGTGTGGGGCTCATCCCCAGTCCAGGCATGTCCGGGAGGCGGCCAATCAGTTTCTCTCTCTCTCTCCCTCGCTCAGCATGTCCTCGGGTGAAGATTAAGAGAAGAAAAAATAAATTAAGGAAGGAAAAATATTCATGCCTGGGTCCCTCTCCGAGTGTTAGTTCACAAAGGCCAGAGTGAGGCCCTGGGCATTTGTGTGTTTTTGGGGGGTTGTGACGGTTCTGGTGCGTAGCCCCAGTTAGAACCTCTGCACAGGATGCCCTCCTTCGCATCGGAAGATCCGCCTTGAGCGGCATCTTCCTCTGCCAGAGGTTAGTCGGGGATGTGGCGAGCCCTCTGTTGACATTTAGGTGGCCCTGCCTCAGAGGACAGGGCCAACCAATGCAGGGCTCAGGGCGAAGGCTCCGCAGCCATCCCACATTGCCAGGGATTTACGTATTGGGAACCAAACGGTGAAAAAGAACTTGGATCAGACTGTGTCAGTTGAGGTTGTTGTTGACTCTCCTTTTACACCACAGAGAAGGGTAAGCTTTTTAAAAGTGCACGCATTACTTAGCCGCCTTCGTTTTGATCGTGAAGTGGCATCTCAACTTTTCTGAACCTGATTATGTTCAAGCTGAGATTTATTTTCATGCTCTTAAACGCGTATTTTTAGGAGGGGTTGTACATACATAATCTTTGCAATAATAACTGGTTTTGTATTCTTTTTCATTTGTGGACACTTTTAAAGTATAGTCGTTAACGTTGATTCTTCCCCCTTCCCCCCCAAAAGTGGTTAGTGGAAATTGTTCAGAATGCAATTACATTTTATTTGGGCTTCACTGTTTCCTTCAAAAACAGCACTTAAGTGATAAACACACATACACACACATATACTGCAAAATTAGAACTTTATAATGATACAGACTTTTGTTTTCTAATTTCCAACATTTCTCCCTCCTCAACCATCTGGCTATATTTCTCCTGTATTTTAAATATGGGTGATCTTCACGTGTTTGTGTGTAGTGTTTGCTAGACTAAGAGATTTGATATAGCACTGTTTACATTCAGTTTATACTCATAAATTTGGACAAGCTGAAAATAATATTACTCCACAAAGACCTCAGAGCAGATAATAAATACTGATTTAAAAGGGCCATAAATTAAAGTGTTTTAGTAATGGTATAGTAGGCTTTTGAAAATTTAGATTCTGGACAATGTCTCTCCCTTGAGAGTGTTAAGACTTCTATACTGTCACGATTTTCTTTTCCTAAGACTCAGTGGCCCTGCTTTTGACTCTGGATCCCTGCCTTGTTCTTTAAAAATTAGAGTAATAGAAGTGGGCCTGTCTATGAGTAACCCTGCTTCCTGCAGTAGACAAAAAACGACAAGTCTGAAAGTTCTGCTGAGCATGTGTTCAGCTAATTCTGGAGGCACATCTGTTGTTTTGAAACCCTCCCAGAGACTTTCACACTTTCTGTAAGTGTATTCTACATGGGGAAATGGGAAACTGATAGATTGGACAGGCAAATCTGGAACAGCCCAAGAAGGTCTGAGTACATAGCAAGTTGATTTTATCAAGAAGTCAGAACCCAGGCTTCTGGTTCAGAGGGCCAGGCCATAGCCACAGCTGCTGCAAGAGCCTCAGCTGGACCAAACCAAAAGCATTACTGAGTCTGGGCACTAGAGGCCCCGGACATCTGGGAGGTAGGCGAGGAGGGGAAAGTACTTCCAAGTGTGTAACCGGTTCTGGTCCCTGCCCTCAGGCCACCCAGGCGCACACCAGCTCCATGGCAGCCAAAGTGGAATAGCAGCCACGGAGGATGTGGTAGGGACAGCTGTCAGTTAAGCTGATTCACATTGACCCCCTGGATTCCCTAGGGATTCTTCCATTCCAGCTTGGCTATCATGGCTCAGCAAACCGAGATGTCCTGCCTGCCCTTGGCAGTAGTTCCCCACGCGAGAGGGTGAATGTACTCGTAGGGTTTAGATTTTGAAACCCCAAGCATTTACCATATTCAAGACACCGCGGAAGGTAGTCAGGATGTGGTAAAGAGACGAGCCAGGAGTGTTCTTGCCATCTTGTGGGAAGACAGATGAGTGAAGTGAGTCTGAACTAATAGATGGTGTGTATTTAGAGTCAGTGAGGAAGAGAGAATAATTCTGACTGGGAGCCACCTGGAGGAGGTGACAATTCGCCAGGGTTTTGAATATTCAGAAAATTTGGATGAGCAAAGAGGACAAGGCCAGCGATATTTTCAAGCTCAAAAGCCTAACGATTATCACTTCTTTCCCATCTCCTACCATTTATAAGAGAGAGTTAAAATAAGAATTGATCAATTTCCCAGCACACCTGGGGCCAGAGACTGGATGTTTTCACTTTCCCCAGGGTTAGGACTGTCAGCTTTTCAAGATCATTAAGTAGAATTTCTGGGTTCTGAAATTGAAACATCATTTGAAACAATCATGTGTCCTTCAGGTTTTTGTGGCAGGTGCCAGGCTTTTGCTTGTGTCCCCTGGATCAGCAGATACAGACTGACTCCTGTGGTCGGGTTCCTCACCATGTCAGCAGATTACATGCCCAACGTGTAAAGTTTATGTTCATGCTGACTGATCTCCATGTAGATGTTTTGAGATTTTGTTCATTTTTATATCATCCATCTAGTTCCAAACATAAATACCATCTTCAAGAAGGAAAGATAAATGTTAAGTCAGTTTCGAGTGGAGATAAGTTCCTGTACTTTGGCTGTTTGAGTGGGGTAACACACACCCTATATCATGGTGAT